TAGCGCGTAAAACTGTCATTATGGTCCACATATCGATTTGCGGGTCGGACTTAATGTCTCCCGAAAGAAATAAAACGTCATAGCGAGTTTTGGGATATGCTTTTAAATTCATCTATGAATTCCACTAATTAATTGAGTGAGTACAGAGTGTAGATCTTCCAGTCCGCCACCTTCTGGAACGAGCCGTTGACCCCGCTCAAAGGTCACGGTTTTATGCCCAAGCACTTCGCAAAGGTAACAAATAAACACACAAACAGAATAAAACTTTTTTAGTCAGTGGAGTAATAGGCTCCGCTCCCAGTCGACAAGCCTTAGTCCTAAACACATCCCGGGTACGACCTAGTTGGGACGCGGGATGTCCCAGCTGGGAGGTCCCCCAGTACTACCGAATGCGACTGCAGTCTGGCCCTGAGCAAGTGATGGGGACATCCCACCAGGACCTTCCATTGAGACACTCGTGGGAGCTTCTGATAACCATCTTTCAAGAATGTTCTCGGCTACTGGGAGTTGAACCTGCGACCTCAGGGTAGCTGGCCGACCACGCTGCCCACTTTTTTTTTCAACACTTTTATTGAGATCTTTTTGATTTACAGACAGGTAAAAAATTAAAATTGTTCAGCGCGGCTGAATGTGCAAAACTAAAAAAAACCTGCCGATACTTCACGCTCTTGCGTCTTCCAACTTATTCTCTCCTGGGTGTGCCGGCGATACCCCTCCCTTCCGCATAAACTTGCGGCCCTACTCCACGCTGGCAGCGCCACTGCGCTCCACGCGGACGGCGTTACTCTTTTAACACGTTGCTCGTCTGTCGCTTTCTAACCCCCTCTTTGATACAGTTTATTTCTGTGCCGTGTAGATCAATAGAAATCGTGAGAATACAATATTCAGTACTTCAAAATTCAAAAATAAAATCAGAGCAAACAGTACATTTTAAAAATTAAATAATTTCATTTCTTCTTGGCTGGGTTCTTTTCTTTCTTGCTTCTCGTACTTGTTCTTCTAACGGCCATTTCCGGACTTCCACTTGCCTGTCTTTTTCTACTGTCGCTTAATTTTCTTCTTCTCGCCAACACCTCCTCAAAGTTTTGCCATTTTCCTGCGTTTTGGTGCTCTTCACTGTTGCCTCCCCCGCCCTCCGTCTTCTGCTCGCCCACCGGTTGTTGCTTTGGCGGCTCGTCGGCTGCTGGGAGCGTGACGTCGCCTGTTGACGCGCGTGGCTGTTGGGTCGCGTCCGCGTCGGCTGCTTGAGCTGCAGGCGGCTTGGCGTCGTCGGCAGGGGGGAGGAGGGGGGGCGGGTCGCCGCTGGCCGGGCAAGGCTCCGGGTGTGCGTCCGAAACAACAAGCTTCGAGCGGCGCTCGCTGCACTGGGCACGGAGATGGGTTGTACCCCCACAAATCTTGCATGTTTTTGGCTGTCCTGGGTACGTCAGGAATACTTCAAAGCCACAGATTTGTACAAAATTAGGAATGGGCTTGCAGATGGACATCATGCCCAGCCGCGCCCCGGTCTTCAGTCCCTTGAAAGGCCCATCTTCGTAGTGCTCAAAGTCGAGCCCCACCATACAGCCGTACTCACTCAGCGCCTCGCAAAGTTCGTCCTCTTCTACTTCAACCGGCAGGTGCTGGATCTTGATGTTGGTGACCTTGGCTCCGTTCAGCAAACACACGACGGCGAATTCGTTGTCGGCGTCACCAATCCAGCGCGTAGGCTCCCTCAAGATGTCGTCCAGCTTCTCGTCGTCATGCAGTTTCACGTGCACGTACTTCGAACGATGCTCGTACTGCACGCAGTCAATCTCAGACAGACTCAATCCCAGTTCTTCCGTTAAAATGATAGCCAGTTCTTCACACTTCGGCACTCCGCTCGGCACGAAAAGTGTCAGCGTGTTGACTCTCGACATCTTCAATCGCAAGTTCAAAAACAATCACAACATTTCAAAACACTCAGACCGTCAGGTGGCCGCTCCCGTCCGTCCGCTCGGCTCCGTGGCTCAGAGCAGACTGAACCACCGATGCCGCTGCAGGCGGAGTGAGCTATCGAAGGTGGTTGAGGGCGTTCGCGGAGCGTGGCGGGTGCGGTGCGTCGCCTGTTGGTGCGGCGGGT